TGGGGCTACATTCCGCTTAACATGGCCGGGTTGGCCCTCGCTAACGTTTGGGGCTACATTCCGCTTAACATGGCCGGGTTGGCCCTCGCTAACGTTTGGGCTACATTCCGCTTAACATGGCCGGGTTGGCCCTCGCTAACGTTTGGGTGAGGTTGTGACACTGTCCTCTGCATCTTTCCACTTACACTCATCACCCTTTACCAGTGCAAAAAACAATTAAGTAACACAAATGTGAAATGAAATGAGATTATCCATTTCGCTCCGAGCTATACAAATCTATGCAGATGTTAATCCTCGGCATGTGATAGCAGTAACCGCTTCCTTTGTACATACCCAGACGCTGCAATGCGCTTTAAATACTGGTTTATTGCATTTTCATCCCCCGAGTTTGCACTGCAGGACAAAGCAGATCTCCTGTTGCGCCGTCATGCCCCCGGCGGTTCCTCATGCCTCCCATCCCGCTGCCAGAAAATGCCCCACCTCCAGGTGAAATATCAACATGCCGGTGTCTCTATCTTTTTTGTTGTCATCTTCTGCAATTTCTGTTGTGGATGCCGCTTTGATGCCTACACTTCAACGTGAGAAAGATTATGTTTTTGTAGAAGTACTTCTGTGATACCGGGGCACAAATACTGCATGTCAATTGATGTAACATGGAAGCAACTTACTTGCAGAGGAGGAAGACTGATAGTAGCAGTGATCGGAGGATTTTCTCCTTATGAATCATGCACTCATCTTCGGGTCCATTGTTGGGCAAAAACAGACGGACATTTGCATTTACTTTATTTGCGGCACACTTTTGTCCAAAACTATGAAGTGAGACAAATCGTATGTTCAGAAGAGAGCGAGGACAGGTGTGAGTTTGCTGCTCGCTTACCTTGACGCTCCTGGGCAGCTAAACTGGAATTTTGGGCATTTCCATTCACTTCCATTTAGACCAGATGAGTCAACTTTCAATGCATATTTTCTGTGCATGCTGACATTAAGCTCACTAACCCTAATAATCATGCTGGTGTAAGCAATCTGTGTGTTTCTTATGACTGAGGTATACTGCTTGCCCTGCCTGTCTTCTGTCATTGGGTCTCTTCCTTTCTTCTTCCTTGTCTCTCTCTCTCTCTTTCTCGCTCTTCTTCAGCGAGCATGTCCCTGGAATTCTGTGTGCCCTGTAGAGGCTTTATGGAGAAGGAGCCCAGTTCATCTTTAAACCTCCCTGCCCCGAGGTCAAAGGCCCCAAGGTCAAAGGCTCCCTTCTGTGGGTGGATGCAGACAGTTGAGCTACGTGGGGATTACAATTATTCCAGGATGTGGGAACCGTCGCTTAGCCTCCGACTTGTTTATTTCCGTCATGTCAAAGACCAGGAGCTAAATATACGGAGGTTTCGGCATAAGTAGCTGTAAATTCTAGCATATGTTGCCAGCATCCAGCAGTTTTGTCTAAAGTAAACAAAGTATGTAAAAAGTCTTTTCTAAAGATGAAGCTGCAGCCATGCTAACAAACAGCCTTGCG